TGCTCCCTTAAACCAACACGGCCACGGTTCTCAAGGGCTTTGTTTTTGGTTTGGTGTTTCTGCCCCGTCGCTCTCGACAACATCATCAGTCAGCCACTTTGAATTCAAAGGCCCACCGCGCCATTTTAAAACCGATCTTTACGAGAGCAAAGAAAAATTAGTCTGTGAATTACAAAGTGAAGGATGGCGGTGAGGAAAAGGTTGAATTATCCCAACCTCTTATCAATGTCAGTGCTGATGGTGACGGTCTCATTTTAGGGCCTTGACACAAAATCAGTGGTGGTAAGGTGGGGTTGCTAAGAGGAAACGGTCGAGAGGTGTTGAAATAGCTGAAGATAAGATGGAGTACCAGAACCAATCGGGTGCTTCTGGATCAAGCACCGGCTGGTTCGTCCACTGGGGTGGATTGTCTTCAGGCTGGACAGCTCATGTAATCCAAAAGAAAAGAAAGGAGAAAGAAGACAAAGAGATGTCAAGCCTAACCTCAAGTGAACCTCATTTTTGGTCAATAAACTTTCACAACAAAGTCATCTGATTTTTGGCTTTCTCACAGGCTTAAAAGTTCTGACAATTAGATTCAATACATCTGTGTATTATCGCCAAATGTCGTATGAAGGACATGCCGTTATGTAAATGTGAGTAATTTGTATTATCACAGGACACAGGTTTACGGTCAGATGAAAAAAACAAACAAACAACAATCCTGAGTCGGAAGAGAGTTGAGTGCCCTCTCCAGGTGGAAGATGACGTTTGTGAAGAAGGAGCTGAGCCAATATGCAAAGCTTTCAATGTGCTCTCACTTATGGTCATGAGTTGTGATTTGGGACTGAAAGAACAAGATCACAAAATCAAGAGGACGGAATGAGTTCCCCCCCGGGGCTCTGGGCTCGCCATGAGAGATGAAGTGGCTTGCGCACCCAATTAGAATGGCTTCTGGATGCTTCCCTGGTGAGATGTTGCAGGCTTGTTTTCGGACACATAGGAGAAACTAAAGCTTCCTGCATGACCTGGGAACACCTAAGAATCCCCAGGGAGAGCTGGTCAAAGTGGCTCGGGAGTTGCCGCCCTGGACAAGTGGGAAAAAATGGAACGATGGATGAATGAATGAAAAAACACAAGTTTAAAGAACTGCAATATTAGGTAGACTTTGATGAGCAGCCGGCATTGATTTTCACTATTAGAGAGAAACACCTCAGAATCTCCGTGAGAGAGCTGGAGGAAGTGGCTAGGGAGGTGCGCTCCTGGATAAGTAGGAAAAAATGGAACGATGAATGAATGAATGAAAAAACACAAGTTTGAAGAACTGCAATATTAGGTCTTGACGAGTAGCCTAGATTGATTTTCACTTTTAGAGAGGTATAGGTATCAGTATATATTTGTTTTAATTTACTGATTTATTTAAAACATTAGGTGTTGGTGGTGATTGGCATGTGACTCCTGTACACATTTGAGTGATCCTGGGTGAGATACAGGTACATACGATATGCCCTTGTCATTTTATATGTTTTGTTATCACTTTTGTCAAAGGTGTGTGCACATCCACAGTGGCGACCTTGTTTGTGTGATATCAGTAATGAATCCCAGAATCCTTCACTCCAGTGGCTCTTGTGAAATATATTTAGACCATCTCCATTTAGATTCTAACCCCTCACACTCCAGTCAAGCCCTTCAAGCAGCCTCTTCTATTCTGTTTCCTTATTTTCCAGCAAGCCAGTCCACACGGCTCCCAATTTCATTATTTCAATTAGGATGATTCGGATCTAAAATTATGTGCGTCCGCTCCATGATTGACAGCAATTGACCACTTAGAGAGGAGAGCGGCACACTCGCAACGTCACTCCATGATTGATGTTGTGTTTGTTTACTCTGAGTGTGTTGGTTTACTCTGATGGGATTTGTGCTCAGTGGAGATGAGAGCATTTCTTTTGGCAAACAACAAGAGACCATCACAAGAAAAACTCCAAATATTTTGTTTTGCCTATATGCCATCCAAAAGCGTGCGCGCAAAAATGCAGCTGTGAGACACCTTAACCTTGAGAAAATAAGTTTACACATCACTGAAGGAATGCGTACATTGAAATTTCTCCCCAGCGATGATCCCTCTAAGACGCATGTGTCAAACTCAAGGCCCAAGGGCCAGATCCGGCCCCCCACATCATTTTATGTGGCCCGCGAAAGCAAATCATGCGTGTCAACTTCCATGATCCTTGCTAAAACTAAATGTCAAACTGTGCAATAATAAGTTTACCTTGTTTAGACTCACTTTGAACAATAATTGAACAAACAAATATTTGACTCATTTCAAAACTACTAATCCATCAATTTGTTGTGTACAAGTAATAATATGATATGATGATTAAACATTGATTGGGTTTTACTGTCGTAACGGCCCTACGAGGGAAGCCATAACTCCAAAGTGGCCTGCGACAGCAATGAGTTTGACACCCCTGCTCAAAAATGCGTGTGAGAAATTCATTCTCTTAAAAAAAAAAAAAAAATCTAACCTGAGCTGTATTGCCATATTGTATTTTCATATACTGTAGTCTCATATAAATAAATTGAAAAGTTCACTTGGCACATGTGGGTGACGGAGCAGGAAAGAAAAAAATGCAACAAAAAGAGTGAAATGCAAGGCAAGCACACATGCCATGTAATCATTGTCACCCAAATATTCCGCTCCGTCGACTTACGAGCGGACTCGGCGTTGTCCAGCGTTTCGCCCTGTCCACTTGTCACCTCAAAAAGAGCCTTGCTGCTTCCTATGTCTAAACACACCTGAAGCATATTACCGCAACACACGTATAAAGTGTTGATAGTCATGTGCTAAGGAATTCAGATAAAATCTGGAAGCCCGAGCTGCCTTCGTCACCAATGCGTAAAATGCAAATTAACGCATTTTGACTGGGTCAGTCAAACATAATCAGAAGTCCCCCCCTCCTATCCCACCAGTACTTCAGATCAATTTTGACAAAGGGTGAGTTTAGAAACTTGTATGTTTCAGTGAGTGAGTCAAGGATTACACTCTTGATGAGTAAAATAAAAACAATAAACACAGAGCGACCAGTGGCTTAGCACACAGTAGTCTGCACTTCCGTGTGTTGGGCTAATTCACGCCTGAAACAGGGGCATGTATCCTGAACCAATTCATACAAACTAGGGGTGTCACAAATGTCTTTTCAGTGATATGCTACATTTAAAAATATAGGTGGCTTGATTTTTTTATGTGACACACCTACATTATGGAACGCTGTGTGAGCTCAGGTCCATGTGCATATCTGATGTTGCTCACCGTGGCCCAAGGAATCCTCAGGCAGTTTGTGTGAATGCTCAGATGCATAGAAAATTAGAGGAAACGTTGCTCAGCAGTCATAACATTTAATAATTTAATTGTTAAAAGGAGGATCGTAAGGAAGGGTTGTCTCGGGCATTTTAGCAACAAAATTTGCAGTCAATTTTGTTGCTAAAATGTTACCCTAGGATTGCCCCACCCACCCGAGAAAGGATAAGCGGCATAGAAGATGACTAGATTGTGAGTGTGTGTGTGTGTGTGTGTGTGTGTTTTTTTTTTTTTACATGTTCCTAAAAAATATTTTAGATTCAACTCCCATCTGTTTACATTGTGCAGGTTAACCGATTGTTGTGGCCTATGAATGTAGAAGGTCACAAGTAACGGTGTAAGAGAGAATCTCCCGAGTTTAATCATGAGGACGGGAACGCCCCCCCCCCACCCCCCTCCTTACAGTTTAACATGCTTGCAGCGTGTTGCAATCAGCATGCACGCTGATTGTATGGAAGCGTGACAGACAGGCAATCACTACTCAGTCATGGCACGTTGTAGCCCAGTGGGAGTTGGCAATAGGGTTCGTTTGGCGACGGCACATGAAGCGGTCGGGTGTAATTCAGAGGACTGGCTGATCTTCATGTCTCTTCCTATTAGCGCTCACGAGTAGGCGGAGGGCCGAGTGGTGGCCGCTGGAGCAGAACATGGGTATCTGTCTTTGTGCCGCTTCTGTGGCATGTGCGCCGGTAGATTGAAGGGTTTGTGTTTATTGCAGATCAACACCAAATGCGGTTCTTCATCATCAGGCCATGATAGTCAGAATGGCAAAGGTCCATGACAGAACATTAATCTGCCTCACTAACAGTCAACCATAAGTCTCTGCTCTCTGCTTCGACAAGTTTCTCACCCCCCGCCCCTTTTCTTCAATCTTTCTCCCTCTCTCGCTTCCCCGTCTACCAATTTGCATACCATTTTTCTTCACAGCCCATCTGTAAGCCACATCCCGACTGTCTCTCTGTTCTTTTTTTCATCGCTTATGTGATTTTATTGCACTGCACGATATTTGATTATTTACACCGTTTCATCGAGGTGTTTGAATTTCATCTGTGTCTGACTCCTGTTTTCTTGACACTTGGTATGAAGCAACTCAAGCTCGCATATGAACACAAATGAAAGGAGTCACCTGGAGGAGACAAATAAAATAGCTTCAAATATGTCAGTTCCACTTATTTTTTCCAATAATTTTAGCTTTGCTTCGATGTTGCCTCAAAAAAAACAAAAAAAAAAAAAAAAAAAAAAAAAAAAAAAAAAAAAAAAACGCCCGCAATGCTCTCTTGCAGCTTTAGCTCTATAAGGACCAATCTACAGTACAATGAGTCGATTTAGGGGCCAGTACATGAAAATAGGGAAGGTGGGACTGGTTGATGGGGAGATGCCAGTTAATTCTCGAGCACTACCGATGTGCCCTTGAACACAACTTTGAGTGCCACATTGTTAGTGAAGTCTATTCAGGGCGATATCGCTCCCTTGATGCAGGCATTCATGCAGATCAAGGTTTGTGTTTATATGCATGAAAATGATAAAATTCAATTTTCCCTTGTGGGACAATTAAAGAACTTCTTGTCTTAGTGCAAGGAGTCCCTTATTAGTGCTGCTATCATAAATCAACATTCATTCATCCCTCCATTTTCCAAACCGCTTAACCCTCACAAGAAAAAAAAATGACTGTCATGACTGTAAAACTCAACAAGTGACGTCTCTCAGTCATGCCGGACAAAAGCATTAGGACACCGGCAGAGTCTTGCTGCTATGCATGGGAGTCTGCTGACTTCAAATAACCCCACTTCAATATTCTTCTTCTTCTCTTTCCCACCTTTTCCCCAAAGTCAGCCAAGATGAGCTCCAGCTGACACATGGCAAAGCAAAAGAACATGGAATTGATGAATCTGTGGAATTTTTCTCTTTTCAAATATGTTGTCTCTTTCCAGCAGGATGTCTTTAAAAAGTGGAAAGGGAGGACCAGAAAGCCGACCATCGTCTGCAGCCAGGTTAGTAAATTTTTACAATATTAGCATTGATTTATTACCAAACTGGTACATTTCCCAAAAGGCAGACGTCAAATTGTTTTTTATTTCTGAATATAAATAGTCATCTTATTCTAAATGTTCATCTCAAAGGTTTAACCATGATTTTTTTTTTTCCTCCCTCCCAGCATTTCTCTTCGAGGGGCGAGGAGTCCAGTAGCCGGCAGATCCCTGACCACCGGCCGATTTAAAAATAAGGCTCTTCAGCTCAGCCTCTCCAAGAAATTCTGGTTATTATCAACCTCTGTTTCTCATCAACACTGATTAAGAGAAGGAGAGAATTGGAGTCCCTGATTGGTGCATCAGCTGCAAAACAAGCACTCAGAGATCTAAATTAAAGGACACTTCACCCGTTTCTCCAGTGACTGATGTAATGAGCCATGTCAGCTGATTGGACTGCTCATGTTTTTCAATTATTTCTTCTCTAAGCAGTAACTTCAAAGCGGGTGCAATGCAGCTGTATCTTTATGAGAATTTGGTCCCCCCAAAATGTGTGTGGGTGTGTTTAAGTGAGTCGCAATGGGGAGTTAAAAGCCCCTGATTAATGCTGATCATTGGCTCCATAATGCACAATTTACAGCTCAAAGTCTCCCACGACTCAGAAAAAGGGCAACGGTGGTGGTGAGGAGGAACGTCATCGGCGCGGCAAACGGAGCCTCAGTAACAGCTCAGCAGTGGCTGCCGCCTACATCGCATACCTCAATAAACTCTTTGGACAGGTCAGTTCAACAACCTGACAACCTTTTTTGGAATAATTACCATTTTCTTTTTGCTTTCTCAATAGCTTTGCTGGAACTACATTTGAATATCAGTCTGAAAAAAATTAGTCCATTCCTTGTTTGTAAACAACCAATCAAGATCAATAGGTTTTTTTCATTGAAAAATATTCAAAGCAATGCTTTTAGATCCACTCAGTGAGCTGAAGTCTCAAAAAAATCCAAGCGCTTGTGAATATACTGATGTCTTGTCTGACAGCAGGTCTGAGGTTTTGTGCGACCTGGTTTTTCCCAGAAAAATGTGTGTTGAATTCATAGGGGCTTTCAAATTTTGAGGTTCCATTTTATTTTCGTCACCGAATGGAGAATCATGGCCATAAGGGAACATTTAGTCAGACAAACAGAGCTCTGTTGAAGACAATTATGTATTTGATTCAGTTTTGCGGTGTTTCCTGTTATTACCATCATGGCGAGATCACTTTCATCCAGGAACATTATGAGCCCCTAATGAGACCTCATTACAAAACGAAAATCGTTTTCATGCTTTGTCATCACAGGGGAGGGATTTACCAATATCAAAAAAGGAGAACCATTTTCACCAAAGGGAGTCATCTGCCTCAACGTTTTAATGATGTTTTTCGCTTGGTTTCTCAATAACTAACAGGGCCGTTTTGTTGCTTTAAAGCCCATTTACGGGAGGTGAAAACAGCTCCAGGATGACCTTCAACTTATTTGCTTCCTACGCCGTCACCACTCCGAAGGTAGAAGGGTCTGCATTGGGTCCCCCCCGTGCACAACGTACTTGTGGCAAAGAGGCTGAAGCGAGCAGGCCATTCATCCTGCAGTGATCCTAATCCCTGCCTCAGTATTAATTAGCCCCTTAGCTAAGTTTACTGTCAGCCCTCATTAGAGGAGGCCGGACAAGACAAATAGATAATGAAAGAGAGTTGATGCATTGCATGGCTGACACTGCTACAAGAGAAGAAAGATACAGAGGGCAGATACTCCATCCCGGTGGCGGAAGACGAAACACAGATGTGCTGCAGCCGCATCGTCGCCGTTTGAACATCCCCGTTTCACTGTTTGCGAACATCAACATAGCTCTCATATATGTATTTTGTGTTTGAGAAACAGTGGGCTGCTCAGTGGGACGACTGAAGGCACACAGGATGAAATTAACCGTTAATGGGCTCAATGCGATGGGCGCGTTCAGAGCCCGCATGGCCATCAAATCCTTTCTGGATGAAAGAAAAATCCAATTAATGTGTTGACCTTGCCATCTAAATATACCCTTGTGGAGCAGAGGATCTTTGATAAGATAAACATAACCAATGCACCCCAGGTAACTCCAGCTCTTTTATGCTGCAGTGTTGAAAACAACATTAAAAATGAAGCCATTTGTATGAATTATGAGAAGGTTTTAGTGTTCGAGGCAGAGTTCGACATATAGCGGAATCACTGCTGGCACAAGTGTGTGTTGGCATTGAAGTTGCGTTTCAACTCGGCTGCCAATGTTACGCAGAGAACAATTGTTTGCCTGGCTGCCATGTGAGCCGGCTTGCCAAGACACCATAAGGGCTGCTAATTTTCGTGAGGCCGTGCAGGACTTTAAACCAAATGACCTTCTTTGATGAATGTATCAAATATGTCCTTAGCAAAGGACATTTCATTGTTTTCGCCACCATTGTTAGGCTTTGCACTGTTTGGTTTTGTTGTGGACAACTGGCTTGCACATCCTCCTCACAGTTTAGAGGTCTCAGGTTCAAATCTGGGCGCCGGCCTTTTTGCGTGTAGTTTACATGTTCTGACCATGCCTGGGTGGGTTTTTTTCGCCAGATCGTCCGGCTTCCTCTCGCTTCCCCAATACATGCATGATACACAAGACTTAAGTAGTCTGTAGGTGTGAAAGGGTGTTGTTTACAGTTCATGTGACCTGCGGTTGGCGGGCGACCAGTTGAAGGGATACCCCGCCTCTTCCCCAAAGTCAGCTGGGATAGGCCGCAGGCACACTTGCGATGCTGGTGAGGATATAAACGGTACAGACAATGCTTTTGTCACTTTAGAGTTACCCAAAAACTGATCATCAGTTACCACAAAACTGTATGGATGGGTGGTACATACTGTATATAAACAAGAACAGAAGAGAATATTACTGTACAACTTGTGGCAGATCCAGATAAAGACGTATCCATTTGCTTTATCAGAAAATAATCAGGCACATGCTATAGGCCTTGGCGCATTTCTGCGCCCTACTGAGTGATATTCTTATTCATTCTAAAGTGGGATTATTAAATACAATGGTGTATTTATTTACTAATGTGCCCCCCCCCCCACCTTTTGACAAATGGTCACTGTAAGAACCTTACAATTACCAAGGGGGGATTGCAAGTGGCAGGTGAAAAAGAATGGCAGTAAAGGCCAATTTGCAAATGCTACTAATGTTGGGTCGTATTTGTTACTTTTGACTTGATTATACAGCCTTCGGTTTCATGTTGTTTCAAAATGTTGTACAGCTGCACGAAAGAAAAAAAAATGATCAGAGATTTTATATGCCTGCTAAACTGGTGTGCCAGTCAAGTTTCTTTGAGGTTATAGATATCCCAGGACTATGTGCCAAGCAGCATCGCCATACGTCTTATACAAGGACGAGTGAACTTTCATGTTTCTCGCTTCCCAATGTGGACATGATGATGGTTAAGGAGACAAATTGTGCATCGGGTAGGCCAGTGCGATTCCAACATTTTTATTTATTTTTTTTATCGTTTTGTTTTACTTAAGGCGCACTCATTTTAATAAGATTATTCCTTTAATTTTTGGTTCATCTTTCAAAATCATCTCAATTAACATTTGCAAATTACATCCAGAACGTGTTTACACGTATGCAAATGAGACAATTGCTTTGAGGACTGAGGCAAATCATTTGCAATTGCCCTCATGGGCAACAAACAAAGCACTTGTCACTCTTTGAAAACAAGTCTATTTGTTTTTGGGGAAGTTACCGGGATGCCTCAGGATGCCTTCCTGCCCCGAATTAACTCTTTAGTAACTAAAACTCCAGCTTTGCTCCACCTTATTCTTGCCAAATTCATGTTCATGCGGACCTTGTCTTCCCGGCTTCCAGCTTTGCATGAAAAGTGTGGTGGTGGGTGGCTGGGGTGGAACAGAAGGAGAAAGAGAGGGAGCGTCAGCCTGAGCAAATGTCAAAAGAAAACAGCAGAGAATACAGAACGGTTCACACACAAGACCGTATGCAAATGCTGTGTTTTGTGTTCCTGCGCTGGCAAGCATATGCAGCCATCTTTCTGTGTCTGTGTGTCATTGCGACAGAGCAAAGTCAGTACGACTCGCCGTTGCATTTGTTTACGTGTGGGTGGGTGTTTGTATGCGCGCAGACTAAGCGTATGGCGGGTCCCTCTGGAGGCTGCAGCTGTAGACGAGTGTGTGCCTGTGCGCGCGCGCGTGTGTGTAGTAGGAGTGTATGATCTTGCGTCATTTTGCAAATGAGAAACGTTGCAGGGTGAAATCCCATTAGTGCTTGTTGTCATCATGCGGCTGTGCTGACATGATATGCATGTTATTCTAATTTGGTCGGCACAAACTGATTATCACTGGGGAGTTTCTCAAGAGAATTTGACCTCTTGAAGTGACCTTGATCGTCCACTTGTGTCTTGTAACTAAATGCAGTGTCTTTTCCTCCTTTTGTGCTGCGTAGGAACGAGAGCTGATGCCCCTGGAGTTGGATGGTAAGATGCCAATTGGGTGACGGGGGGTAGCCACGTGTCAACTGCGTCACTGCATTTTTGACAACCGTGCTGAGATTTACTTCTGGAAAGCTGTATAGTTCTGATGCTGGAGTACATCTGTCAGAAAAGTATGGTGAATCAGAGTCCTTTTATTGGGTTTAAAAGGCACAGCCTGATCCTAATCTCATTTCAATATTCTGCCCTCAAGCTTCGAGCCAAGTGCAAAAAGATCTCCAAGTGTTCTCATTAGATACGGGACTTTTACAAGGGTGGGGGGGGGGGGGTTGATCTGCCTGGAGACATGTGGACTGAACGACTTATGTATTTAATGTCTGAACCCAGCACAGCTTCTTTGTTTTAATGACTTTTTTCACAGCAGTCATTTATCTGGAGTGAAACTATAAATAGTAGGACAGATAGATGTACACACCTTTTATTTACATTGAGTTTATTTCTGTTGTGCTTGGTGTTGTGACACCATTTTAAAGATTCTGATCTGTGTGTGTGTGTGTGTGTGTGTGTGTGTGTGTGTGTGTTAGAGTTGCGAGAGGCCTTTAAGGAGTTTGACTATGATGCAGATGGCTTTATACATTACAAAGACATTGCTGACTGCATGAGGACCATGGGATACATGCCTACAGAGATGGAACTGATCGAGATCATCCAGCAGATCAAGATGAGATGTGTGTATTCATTTGTTTGGCTTTGTGTGTGTGGGGGGTGGGGGGGGGCGTGCATGCATGCATGCATGGCTAGCTTTCAGTTGTCCCTCAGATGTTATGTCATTCAATGACTGATGGGTCCATCTCAGATGAGCAAGTGTGTGTAACGTGTAATGTGTCGATGTGCGTTGCACTTTTTTTTTTCCTTCCGCTGTGCGGAATTGATGTTTGTCTTTGAAGCCGGGGACATTGGAGGCATTTTGGCATACTGATTAATGGCCCACGCCCTGCATGTGTGTTGCTATATGGTTGTGACTCTGCATGTTGAAGTGCGGGTTGAGATATTCTTTCTCAGCAGCCCCATTTGGGGCTGCCTTTGCTTCTCGTTCCTCAAACAAACAAACAAACAAACAAACAAAAATGCCTCACACTGAATAGTTCAGCTTCTACATTCTAAATTCTGAGAAAACATGACCTACAAAACATTGTGTCAGAGAGAGGCAGCATAAAACAGACAAATCTTGCCTGTGTGCCCTTGCTATTCCAGAAGAGATTCAAGAGATCATGTAGGGAGTTAGTTTCTGAATATAAGATTGATGTGTTTGATGGTAGATTCAAAATTAGGTCCACCTGTATAATCCTGCGAGATTCTATACAATATTTATAAATAAACGACCACTGTATCGCATTGGACATCCCCCAATTGTTTATGATAGCCTACTGTATATGCATATGTACCATCAAAGGTGTTCAACAAAAGTACCAGGCCCTATTAATAAGGTCAGCTCCTTCAAAGTCCGAAATCTAAAATCTATCAGGAAGAAAAAAAGTCATCACTTCAACAGAAGTGAATAAAGAGATGTTATTCTTGATCTATGATAAAACCACAAGTATTGTCATGATCAAAATCAAACGTATGTCCTGCATACTGCACACACAAAGTATTTGTGAAACAGATGACCAATGTCAGAGCAATGCATTCCGTGGTTTCCCAAATAAGACGGCACTGAATGTGTGAATTAAAAGTATTTTGCTGAAGGCTAATTTTCTGAGCTATTGCATTGGACCTCATTATATCATACAGGTGTGCTTAATGACGTCTCAATAGTAAACAAGAAAAATCAAAAACTAAAAGCCCAGATGTGCCCCAGTGAGGAAGAGCTTGATTTGCGACTTGATTATGTTTAGTTAGCGTAGGTAACCGGGTGATGTTATTCATTAAACGTAATTGGTATGACTCGTCCGTTTCAGTTTATTTGTAATGCAAAGTAAAAATAGCATGCATTGAAGCATTTACTGTATTTCCCTGTACAATACTGCTCACAAACAAAACATAAGCCAGTCATTATGATGGCAGAGAATCTTAGCCCTAATCTCCTAGGACCAGGGGCTCCAGATGTTTTTCTGTCTCTCTAATGGCCAAATTTGGCAGGTTTTCAATAATTTTAATGCGTAGATCGAGCTAATGACAAGGCCAATGTGGAGCCTCTCCCAGCTGCTTCCGCGCAGTAGGCGGGGTACACACTATAAAGTGTTTGCCAGCCAATCGCAGGGCACCCATAAACGAACAACCGTTCACGCTCACAATCACACGTAGGGACATTTTAGAGTGCTCCATTAAACTGCCATGAGTCTTTTTGGAATGTGGGAGTACCCAGAGAAAACCCACGCAGGCAACGGGAGAACATGCATACTCCACACAGGAGGGCTGGAGCCAAAATCAAACCCTGCACACCCGCCCACACATCCGCGCACACGCCATAGCTATGAGCAAAATATGATGACAAATAAGAGATTATTTTGTTTTCTGTCACTGTTTCACACTCTATACTGTAATTTGAATTATTCATGCATGCTACTGATAATGCTTTAACCTTACAGGGAGAACAGGCTTTAGTTCTTTTCTTTTTAAATCCCTTTGGAGCCAACAATACCATGAAATGATATCTTTTTCCCATAACCAGTCAAGCACTCTCAGTTGAGAAAATAATATTTTTCTTCTAAGACGTTTAGAAGATTTTTTATACAGTGATTATAGTCTGACCCACTTAAGGCAAAGAAATTCTTGTGCAGTGTCAGGACTCCTCCCAGACTGCTGCTACACAACTGACAAGGCAGAGAAAAATGTACCCTACCGTTAGAGCAAATAAGAAAATCATTTGCTGGCTGAAAATCACATAATTAGCTGTCTCATATTTCAGCCTTTTTCAGCCGCTGTTTTTTTTTTAAATTAACATCTATATATGCTGCTGCAAATCAACGATAATGGGCATCAGCACAACATTTTAATCATTAAATGGCCACAAAAGCTTGTTGAGTCAAACCTATATCAAATACAGTCTGTTCTATGACAGTGGGGAAACCTTTTCTTTCCCCTTTGAAACTCATCAGATTTGGAATCTTCTTTTCCAACTGTCACCATTAAAAAAAAAAAAAAAACTGTGCGTGCGTGTGTGCGTGTGTGTGTGTTCCATTTGGGTGTAATCGTTCTCTACCTGTCTGTATTGAAATACATATTAAAGTATTGAGCAGTTGTAGTTACTGTATTTTCCCTGATAAATACAAACAGAGCCAAATGAGAGCTAACCATCTGCCCGATGTTTAAACAAGATTTAGTTTGCTTACAGACACACATTAGGAGAGTTTGACTTGTTGCTGTGCCATCAGTTTGTTCTACTGCCCCCAGGTGGCCAAAAACCATGACATTATAACCGAATAATGTGCAGTAAAAACATCATTAAACAATGTTAATGTTGCCCACCTGCGTTTGCTAGCTCGGTTAGTTTGCTTTGTCCTTCTGCAGGGGGTGGCCACGTGGATTTTGACGACTTTTGCGAGTTAATGGGCCCGAGGATGCTCGCTGAGACTGCTCACATGGTTGGGCTGAAGGAGCTCCGCTGTGCCTTCAAACAGGTAATGATTAGTTATGACGAAGCCGACACCATCGCAAGTGTGTGGATCTTACTTGTACAAGGGGGGGCTTCCCCTAGAGAAGGGGTAAGGAAATCCAGTTCCTCGAGATCCATATCCTGCTTGTTTTCGAGTTCTCCCTAATCCAACACACCTGAGTCAATTGATCATGATCGTTTCAGGCTTCTACGGCGCTTGCTGATGAGTTGATCCTTTGAATCAGGTGCGTTGGTGTAGGGAGGGATCGAAAACAGGCAGTATATTGCTCTCGAACAACCAGAGTTCCCTACCACTGCTCTATAGGCAATGCAGCTATAGCATGGAAACGTCATATAGTACTGAGCCAGGAACCCTGGAAGTCTTAACTGTGAGCAAACGTCCTGACTGAACAATTTCGAAGTAATGTGTGTTTAAAAAAAAATCCAAAGCATACAGAGAGTTTTGAGTAGGAGGTAGACAGAGTACCTGCACAGGTATAATATGCACACTCTACTCGTGAGAGCTAATGTTGAAACACAGGAAGTGGCACATGGTATCAAACTAAATGTCAGTAACATACAGTGCCAGATGAAAATCTGAACAAAAAAAAAAAAAACACATTATTTTGCTATACAGCAAAAGACACCCAAAACCTCAGAACTGGGAAGCAGATGTGCTAACTACATCGATCGCTGTTCAGCCTGCATCCTACTACAGTGTGCTTGCGTAATTTGGGAATGAGCCAGTCTGTGAATAGTGAATTTGAGCAAATAATTGATGCTTCTTGATACATATGCGCTGTGCCAAAAACAATAATCTTCAAAATTCTGTATTCCCACACTGACAACAAATGTACACACTCCACTGGTTTTGATGCCACAATTAGTTAGAGTTTTAACAGAACTCTCAAGAGCCAACGTTGACATAAGCACTGACATCTTAGCCATCTATTACCACTGTCGTTGACAAATCCAATATGGATGCTGTCAGATTTGTGATTGAGTGAGCAGTTGTGTTTAATAATCAGTTCCTCTGGTTAGTAGAATGTCAATATGATTGATTGATTTTTTTAATACTCTGGTTATGAGATAAATATTGAATCACAGTTGCTCCAGTTAAACAGTTGCACATATACTACATATTTTTCGAATCATATTTCTTTCCAATAATTTTCTAATTGCCTCATAATACTTGAGGTATAAAGAGGCGGATTAAGTCTGGTAAATCTTCACTGCAGGACCAAGTCCCGAATGCACCGCCTGCCACAAAGTCAGGAAAAACAAGATTTTTAAGTCCCACCTCCTCCTCCAAGCAAAATCGTGACGTGACCAAGCAAGACAAATTAGGTTATTTTCCAGAATTTGTAAGCCAGCCTCTTGCCTGGGCACTGTGTGCGGGAGTTATTAATGATTACTGCCGAATGGACGACACTGACATAAAGTGCGCTCTGTGCTAATAAATATTAAAGAATGCTTGATATGCAACGGCGCACTCACTGTGCTCTTGATTTATATGGGTAGAGTCTTATCGGCAATATAGTCTCATGCATCAAATAGGATCACATTTTAGAAGCTCTTTATTGCATCCACTATTTTTGGATTTATTATTTTACAGTATATGATTTTGTGTGACTGTTTTGTCACGCGAGCTAAAGCTACATTTAAAAGCTTGTCTGTATTTAAATGTGCTCTCTTGTGGACAATACCCCATGCTAACGGTACCTTAACAACACGCTTCTGTGTGGTATGTCTAATTTACAAGACATACTTATTTTCACTTTACAAGGACTTTACAATGTATTAATTCATATATTCAACATTACATTATTTTTAAATGAACTCTATTATTCCCAAAATTCATTTTTGGAATACAATTAAAGGGTTCCCTCTTAACAGATGCCTCACCTCCAGATTTATCACATTTTCATGTGACCGCAGTCTAACTGTGCCAACACCAAAAATATATCTTTGGCTATGTTACTCTGTGTCAAACTTGTTTGCACTTTTTTTATCAACACAGCATCGGCAATATGTCTTCGCGTGGAGTGTTCCTTGCGTCACGGTCAGCACCATAAATAATCAGTTATAAGAGGGACACATGAGCGACTCCAGGCACCATGTGTGCAAATGAGAATTCATTTCCAGCCCCTTCCTCATTTCCAAAGATGTTCTCAGTTCAGGACAAACACCTCATAAGTCAGCATTGCCCCATCTGCAGATTTAAGCTGATTGCAGACTTCACAGAGCTCGGTAGATGGTCCACAAACTCAAATCGGTTTCTTTTCTATCTAGAGAACACTTTAATTGGATTTTTAATGTGGCTTTTAATAACCTCTAAAACCCTTTCCGTTGTTTGTACTGCGTTTATCGCATTCTACTTCTGTTGTTTCATCCTCTCTGCCTCTAATCCTCTACATCCTTTGTCTTGACTTTCATTTGTAGTTTGACTGCAATGGGGACGGTAAAATCACATTTGAGGAGCTGAAGGATGGGATGAAGACCCTCCTTGGAGAGAAGCTGAAAAAGGGCGAGCTAGAGGAGATCCTTGGTGACATTGACCTAAACAAAGACGGCAACATCGACTTTGATGGTGAGCAGCTGACAGAAAGAGATGTCCCATAGTTAGTTGAGTGAGTGTAAGTCATCAAGGCTTTAACATTTGTCACCAGAAAAATCAATGAGCAAGTCACAATGATTTGAGGTCAATGGGACCTGGTTGGACTCCGCTTCTTGCCCTAATTCAGCTGGGATTGGCTCTCGCTTACCTGTGACCCTAATAAGGACGAATTGAAGGATATGAAGTTTTTTTTTCACAGAATTGTTTTTACAGATTCTTTGCAAGCATTATTTGTTCAGATTGGCTTTTCCTGGTTTTGTGTCGCCAGCGCTTTCTGTTGATACTTTTTCTGTAAGTATATATTTTTTTGTGCCGTTATTCGTCTGAGTCTACATTTGTGCAATATGCTTACCATATGGTCCATTTTCGGATCGTGCCAGTTTATTTTGTAATATTTTAATCGCAGCGTTGAAACCGAGTTATCTTATGGTGTCTTAGAGTACCGGTAACTAAGGAAAGAACCCTTATTTTTTGATTTCCTATTTTTGATGAACACTTATGATTCCCAACTATGTTACTGCATTTTAATGCTTTCATGATGATGCTTGGCATTTGTTGAGGTGGTGCTTAGTGTGAAACGAAAACTGTGTTGAAAAAAAAATCATGCAGTGAAAAGAACAAAAATTGGGAACATGCATTCTAATTTTTAAACTTCTCAAGTGATTTTTAAAATGTGAGAGACCCCTCACATGATGAAGAAATCTCTCTAGTTTAATCGAATCATGCGTATGATTGTCTGGCTGTGTGTGAGTCAATTAAACTTTTTTTTTCCAAACAATTCATCACAAAACATTATTCAAATCTAGTTTGTAAGTATTACCAGTGCCCTATCAAGAATATCGTTGAGATCTGTAAATCTATTTGTTCCCTGTTTTTCTCTATCGGTATGGTATGAAAGCGCATGAAGAAATCCAGTAGACACAAAGTACCACACAAACAAAGCTATTACAAGAAAACATTAAGAGCAAATGGAGGAGAAAGTAGGAAGAGGAAGAAAAGGCACGCTTCCATGGAGGCGCCTTGCCTGAAAGATTCTTTGCAATCTAATTGGGCTTTTTCCTCAATCAATACACATGCCGGCACGTGTCTCACATGCGACACATTGAGAACACACTGTGCTGGACAGCTCAAGGACTTAGCAGAAATTGCATTACCTGCTAAGAAAACACACACACACACACACACACACGCACACGCACACGCACACACACACACACACACACACACCCGCATGCCCCCCCGATAGCAGGGAATGAAGGCTTGAGCACACATAGAGCCAAGAAGTGTGATCTGTTTTGTCTTGTCGCAGCAATCCAATCTATTGCAATTATCGGCAACATATGAAAGAGGCATGTTATTGTCAAAAAGGGATCAATGAGCGAGCGCTCTTTGTCATCATCATCAATTAGCCCCGAGGGCACAGTTTTGAAGGTGTCACAGGGGCCTCATGTCTAACAAGGCGCGACAATAAATGAATATCCCATATATAAACCTTCCGCCCTGAGCCCTGGGTGGGATTATAGATTTGCGCCTCCCACCCCTCACCTCAATAGGTGTCATCAAATTCACATCATCATTTTAAAAAGCCATCCCACGCCTTGTACAAAGAACAGTGAACTGATTCATATGTGCAAAAGCGCTCGCAGCACACACAGCGGTAGAGAGTGGCTGAGTCACACTGTTTTAATATTTTTTTCTTGATACTTTTGCACCCTCCCCGCTCCCTTTGGCTAGTTTAGTAGCTGATAATAATCAGGCTTCCTACATTATGCAGCCAATCAGTTTCAAAAAATATGCAAAGAATATCTTCAGATTATGCATAATACAATACAGTGAAACTCCTCTAGAACGAAATCTGCATGGGCGAAAATACCCCCTTATGTGAAAAAATCTTCATGCATTAACACAATTCCCATTCTCCTGCCCCCCATACGACGAAAACCCCCCTGTTGCGTTATACGAAATCACTTTGTCTGCTCCAGCCTCGCGAAGACATTCACTACAACGAAGTCTTATCCAACAGCGACCTCTACTGCTTCGTTCGAAAAAAGGCAACAGCAACCACCACACTGGTTTACATAGTGAACGATGTTTATTTCGGTCACAGCTGCGAGTTTCCTGGGCTCAACATACTCATAGCTGCTCTGCTATTGGCTTACCGAGCATCATCCTGGCCTCCGATTGGCCAAGAGGCCACATAGACCTCACTGTCTATGTGTGTAGATACTGAAGCTAGATCCGTAGCATCCGATTAGCTGCTCAGAGTAAATTGCTTATGGCTCGACGGACATTTACTTTACTTTTTATCATGCTAAAAACACCCACGGGACGCTTCGTAGTCCTCGATGGCCATAGTTAGCTCTCGAAGACTAAAAACCTTAACGCTAACTGGAGCGCTTCTCTCTCATTAGCGCTCCAGTGGCTCGACGGACATTCAAATAAACGAACGTTTCCTCGATGCTAAAATGGCTACAAAACGGACCTTTTGATGTCAAGCAGCTAAGACAAGAAGAGCTCTGATGCTGGAAGAGAGGGTAAAAGTGATCAAAATGAAAGACGGAGCAAGCAAAATAAAATACATTTTCCAAGAAATTGATGTAAGTGAAAGTGAATGCTGATCGTAAATTTCGCAATTTCTTTCCCTTTTTTTCTTTCTACACTGACAATATGAAGTGTCAAATAAGTGTGTGCTCATACTTATGTACTATTGGAATAAAAATAGAGTACACAAACGTTTGTGTGTGCGTGTACACATACGTTTGTGTGTGTGGGTGTGTGTGTGCTTACATCTGAGATCAAATTTGCTACAGTGAAAAACCCCCTGTTGTGAAAAATTTCTTGCTGCAAACATGATTTCGTTGTAGAGGAGTTTCACTGTATATGCATATTGTGTAAACTTGTTCATAGAGGCAAGTTATATAAACGATTACTATATTGCAAAATAATTATTCACTTTTTTTATTACATATTAAATATCCCCACATATAATTGTACATTACAGTTTATTGGATGCACTATGTAAGCGTTCAGTCTTTTTTTTTCCCCCCTTGCGGCAGCTAAATTAATCAGTTCAAAATTTTTGGCATCTTTTTCTCCTTGAAAATTCCTCTCTGTTGTGAAATTCATTAAATAGTAAAGGCCAAAGTATGATAAACCTTACATTTTCTGCCTAGAATTCATATCTTTTTTGTTGGAAGCTTTAGGGAGCCAACCAAAAAAGTTATTTGATTATTTTTTTCATCTTTAAAAATAATGTCATGATTAATTGGTTATTCAGGCTTTTTTTTCTGCCAGATATCAGAATCGACCTAAAAAAAGGCAAATCAGTTGGGCCTTAGTTCATGCTTTTTTTGTGAAAGAGTGCCATGAATGAAGCAAATTCACATTCGTGTGTGAATGTCATGCACTCTCAAAAAAAAAGCACTGACTGATGTTAGCCATGCCTCGCACAAAAGCGCGCTCTCAACGACTCTTTAATTAAACAAGAAGTCTCAACTTGCATGAAGATGGAATGATTACACAAAAAATATCTCAAAAAAGTTTCACTGTTCATCAGTCCGTGGTGAGACAGTGTCTGTTATCGGAAAGAATTCAGCGAATCTGCTACACTCCCTCAGAGTTGCTGTCCTCTAAAAATGACTGCAGTGTCAGTTAAAGACTTTAGAGATATCTATGGCGCATGCTGACATCTCTGTTTACAAATCTACAAGAAGTAAATTCATGGGCAGTCCTTGATAAATTTTACCTGGGAGTGCCAGGTTGACGCCCAGGCGTTTTGTCAGAGGGGCACAGTTTTAAACACAAGCATGCATGCATGTATTTAAAAAAAAAAGTACAATGGAACTCTGGACGTTGATGTCACGCAACCCACAATGCACCGAGCCACCCATCAACAACGCCATTTTGGCAGAATAGAAAAAGTGTCGCTGCATTGAGTAAACGCAAATGCCGTACTTTGACAATGGTAGACAACTGTTGTGCAGGGACTAGCATTTGACAGGTGACCAAATGAAATAACAAACTAAGCGTAGTAAAAATGGAGTGGTTCAGAAAATGGATGGAATGTTGACTGATTAACACTAATTTTATCACTGCTCTCCATTGTAAACCCTTTCACTGCCACGGCTGCGATACTGCCCGCACGGCTGGTTAAACAAATACACGCAGGGATCAGTCACGTGACGGCCGGAGCTCCATGTTTTGTTCTTGTGCACAATAACAAGTGTAACAAAGAAATGGGCTTGGCCAGCAATTTTATTGTCATATATTCCTATTGTCTCGGAGGTGTATCATGGGCTATTGTAGTTCACAATGCAGAGTTCCACTGAAGCGGGTGAAAAGTAATGGTTTATTTGTTCATGGAGATGACGACAACGATAGCGTGGCAATTATAAATTTGCGATTTTGTCAAGGATGGCTGTCTACAATTGTTATATGCAAGCAATACTGATGAATTTTCAAAATCTCATTACAGTCTTAAAATAATGGCATGTGTTATATTTTGACCCCCCAAAATGCCATAAACATCTCATGATGCTGGCCACCGCTGCAAAAACTCTTCGTGAAACAGATCATTAAATTCTACCCCTGAAATGAAGCATTACTCAATAAAATAAGGAGTTAGATCAGTTCTTCGTGACTTAGGCCATTAGTTTAGGAAGGTCACGATGTGAAATAGCCTTGCATCCATGTACCGTATTTTTATTCTTTCAACCAGATTGCCCTTTTGTGAGGTTCATTAACTTGCTGATGTTGTCATCACATCAATGTGAAAGTTTTGAGTGTATGAGTGAACTCAGTATGGGCTGATGATGATGTACAGCAGCATCCTTTTGTGATCATTGTCACCTGCTGTCTGTCTCCTTCCGCAGAGTTCGTGATGATGCTCTCAGCTCGGTGACCTCTGATGGAGGGTGAGGATGGCACTACAACCACTCTCTGCTCCTCTGATTTCCTTCATTGTGTTCCGTGAAACTATGTACATTACTTATGACGTCTGAAAAAGAAATAGTCAATCATGTTGTTTTCATAAGGGCGGCACAGTGTTCAACTAGTTTGCACATCCGCCCCACAGTGCAAAAGGGCTCAATTCCGGCTCCGGCCTTCCTGTGTGACGTTTGCATGATCTCCCGGTGCCTGCGTGGGTTTTCTCCAAGTACTCCGGTCCCCCCCCCCCATTCCAAAAACATGCATAGCAGGCTCATGGAACATTCTAAATTGTACCTTATATGTGATTGTGAGCATGAATGGTTGTTTGTTCGTAGATGTGTGCCCTGCGATTGGCTGACAGCCAGTTCGGGGTGTACTCCGCCTTCTGCCCAAAGACGCCTGGGATAGGCTGCAGCATGCCCGCGAGGATAAACGGATTAGAAAATGGATGGATGGCTTTATTTTCAAAATAAATGGGCAATTAGCGCTAATGTAGGTTTCGATGAAGCATGAGTAAAACATTGATGCTACATTGTCGTCCCCTTGTGGCTACACAGGGTACATACTAAAGCGTACATGTAACATAAGACATTCGTCATGTCAGTACGGTACAGTACTTGCCAAATACACGCCAGGGCCGGAAATGACATAGGCTGGCGCTGCGGTTAAAAGACAGGTACAGCTTCAGGATTTTTTTTCTCTGCCGGTGCTAAGGGCTTGACCAATACACAGGGGGGCTGAGAAAATGGTTCATAGATCTATTTTAATATATCAAAAATATCCTGGATAATTGGATTTCAGGCACTCTTATTCCTACCGTTGTTGCAAGTCTTACAACTTGCAAAGGGTTTGGAGATTTGAGTCATATCTTTCATGTGTCTCTCTCTCTCTCTCTCTCTCTCTCTCTCTCTCTCTCTCTCTCTCTCTCTCTCTCCCCCCCCCCTCGCGCGTGTGTGTGTGTGTGTGTGTGTGTGTGTGTGTGTGTTCACATTCCATTCACCTTACTCTCAACCTTTAGTTTTTTGAAGTGTGCATTAAGATGAGCAAAGTTGAAAGAAAACAAAACTGAACAAAAAACGACGTTTTTTTTTATTACTGAAAATCATTAACTTAAAACAGAGCAAATAGCAATACCTTAAACAAAAAAAAAAAACCTTTTCACAAATCATTTAAGTAAACCAGCCATGAATTTGTATCTTTCCAATATCTTTCCAACTTGAGACTGCTGGAAAAATACAATCATAACATACTTCATATCAAGATGGGAAAGACTGGTAAACCAAGTTTAGTGTAACTTGAAATCACAAAGTCAAATGCTGTAAGGCAACAGGTTCTCCCCGCCAAGCAGAGCAAGATGAATGGGTGCTGAATATTCGGAATAATATTAAAGGTCTGCCTTGTAGATGCATCCAGCATATACTGATTCGGTGATTTCATATTGCAATATCCCCTACTGAAAACGTCTACACAAAAATAAGGTCAGAATGTACAAACAACTTGTATTCCATGCACTTAATTCATTGGGAGTAGCTGAGTGTTGTATTGAGAAGTAGTTCGACACATAAATATCTCCCGTTTTAGGTGACGAATTTTGGAAGATTTTTGGAGCTATTAGTTCACTGTGGGAGGAAGATTTTGACAAGTACACATTCAGGATGACAATTTGTTGTCATCAGTGTTTTTCAGCATGACCACATGGAAACAACACACACGGTGTCAGGAAGTCCGGGACATGATGGAAGTTTAGCGCACTTGGCACGGGGGAGGAATACAAAACACAAATGTGGGCAGTCTGGTTATTGTCCTTTAGTGGGACAGCGTGGACCATCAATGTGAGTTGGTTGCACTTGGGTATTATGTAGACCTTTTTTCCTCTTTTTTTTTTTTTTTAAATGCAACATTCTGGATTTGCCCGATGGCATCTCGATCACCTTCCTCCCCCCTTGCCCCTCGCCCCACCTCTTTCAACAGGTGAAATTTGACCCAAACCAACATTCTCAATCCATCTCAGTGATGGCCACTTCATTGTGTGCACAAGGCTTGACGCTGTCACCGTACATCAGGAAGTTCCTCTGCATAATTCTGGAAAGGCGAAAGCCGCTTCACCTCGTGTGACTCGTGTTTGACGTGACAAACAATGTGCGTCACCGGAAGAATCCCTGAGGCGGTTTGGCCACGTCTCGGCATGCTCAAGAATCTTTTTAGCATAGTAGGTTTGGAGCTGCAAGTGTCAAGTTCGGGTGAGCGCGCTTTAAAGCGTCCAATCGGCGGAGTGGCGAGGACGAGAAGAGGAAGCTCTTAACTGTTGGGGATGCTCTGCAGATAGGTGAGAATGTGCTGGATCTTCACCAGGCGCTCTTTGAGGCTGGTCATGGAGAGGACAGAGAGCTGGTAGCGCGGGTCAATGGGCAGCACGGCCAGCAGCCACCAGCAGCAAGCAGGACCGTTAGGAGTCGCCTGGAATGCAGGGCACACAAGAAATGATTCCACTGCAATCACTGACATACTCCATCATTTAATCCATAATTTAATTTAAATTGCATATTAAACAGGGTTATAAAACAATCAAAATAAATAACATAATTTATCCAAAAATTCAAAAGAAGGCGAAGGACAAAGTGGAACCTGTGGAGTATAGAGGTACATCTAAATCAGGGGTGTCAAACTCATTTTTGTCGCGGGCCACGTTATAGTTGCCGTTCCCTTGGAGGGCCTTATGACTGTGAAAGCATATAAGGAAGTCAAGAATAATGGTTTATTCAACTATAGTTTAAGTTACTGTAATGAGGGTTTTGGTAACAAGAAAACATACACTAGCTCTCTTGTATATTACATACGTGAATTTGAAATTTTGGTAAAAATTTTGGTAAGCATCAGAGAAGTTAACATGTTTGATTTGCTTTCGCGTGCCACATCAAATGATGTGGCGGGCCAGATCTGGCCCCCGGGCCTTGAGTCTGACACCTGTGATCTAAATGAATGTGAATATTGTAGAAAAATGACTTTCATTTCAGTATCTTTAATTTCCCCCATGTGTTTAATAAAGCTAAAAACATGAGTTTCATATTTTAAATTGAGCAAAAGATTATTTTTTAACACAATATTATCATTTGTTGTCGCACCACTAATACTACAGCAACAAGCACATGACATTAGGGTAATTAATGTTAGCTTGAGTGTTTATTCTTGTCATTCCTCACCGTGGACTCATAAATACATATAGCCAAGCCAGTACAGTGCATTGGAAAAGGGACAAGACGAATCACCTGAGCACACATAGCTATGGCCATCGGTCGCAATTATGAATGTGATCATAGCTGGACTTCAGGAACAAAAAAGCCTCTACCGTGTGCTATGCGGACAAGGGGGATTCTCTTCATGACACCTGTGATGCAATAGTAGCGGGAGGATTAGCTATGAAGCACCCATAAAGCTCATGAGCCAAGACTGTCAAAAGGCTCCGCCCCTCAGGTCCTAGCGGGGCTGAGCGCTAATCCTCTTTGGCCTAAGGAGCACACAACAACTGCAATCTTCTATGATGGACCTAAGTCCCCGCTAATGTAGGCTTTCCCAAACGGAAGCACACAAGCAATTGACTGTGTCAAAAAACATGTCTCAATGCCAGTTTTCTGAGCAGCAGAGAGTGTTATTCATGACCTGGTTGTTATTTTCAGACATAATGCTCAGGAGTGAAAAGCCCGAATCAGGACTCATTGTTCCTCTTAGTCACATCATGTCAGTCGGGAGCTGACCAAGCACAGAGATTACAGGTAGTTGTGAAGAAAGTGTTCGCGACATGAGTGATCTTCGTCTTGATTCTCCTCAGATTATACATGTCTACACGGGAAACAAACAATTGTGGTGCGAGGACCAGTGGCGGTTTTTCATACAGTGAAACTCCTCTAGAACGAAACCTGCATGGGCGAAAATACCCCCTTATGTGAAAAAATCTTCATGCATTAACACAATTCCCATTCTCCTGCCCCCCATACGACAAAAAACCCCCTGTTGCGTTATACGAAATCATTTTGTCTGCTCCAGCCTCGCGAAGACATTCACTACAACGAAGTCTTATCCAACAGCGACCTCTACTGCTTCGTTCGAAAAAAGGCAACAGCAACCACCACACTGGTTTACATAGTGAACGATGTTTATTTCGGTCACAGCTGCGAGTTTCCTGGGCTCAACATACTCATAGCTGCTCTGCTATTGGCTTACCGAGCATCATCCTGGCCTCCGATTGGCCAAGAGGCCACATAGACCTCACTGTCTATGTGTGTAGATACTGAAGCTAGATCCGTAGCATCCGATTAGCTGCTCAGAGTAAATTGCTTATGGCTCGACGGACATTTACTTTACTTTTTATCATGCTAAAAACACCCACGGGACGCTTCGTAGTCCTCGATGGCCATAGTTAGCTCTCGAAGGCGAAAAACCTTACGCTAACTGGAGCGCTTCTCTCTCATTAGCGCTCCAGTTAGCGTAAGGTTTTTAG